CAAGAAGTGATAACGGCTGATAAGATGCGATAAGCCTTGCAAGGGGAGAGTCACCAAAGTCATAGCGCCGGCCACGGCGACGACGAGACGTTAGTTTCAAGAGGTAAGATAAGGGGCAGGATGGGAACATCATTGGTGGGTGGCAAGAAGTGATAACGGCTGATAAGATACCATGAGGAGCAGGGGAGAGCCGCCAAAGTCATAGCGCCGGCCATGGCGACGACGGGACGTTGGTTTCAAGAAGTAAGATAGGGGGCAGGATGGGAACATCATTGGTGGGTGGCAGGAAGTGATAACGGCTGATAAGATACCATGAGAGCCTTACAAGGGGAGAGTCACCAAAGTCATAGCGCCGGCCACGGCGACGACGGGACGTTGGTTTCAAGAAGTAAGATAGGGGGCAGGATGGGAACAATATTCATGGCTGGCAGGAAGTGATAACAGCTGATAAGATAATATAATGGGCCTCAGAAAGGAAGGGTCACCAACCTGATAACATGCTTCACAGCGACGCTAGGACGTTGGTTCCAAGAAGCAAGATAGTGGGCAAGATGGGAACATTATTGGGGGGTGGCAGGACGAGATAACGGCTGATAAGATAGCCCCAAAAATTCACAGCATAGTTGTGGATTACTGGACTATTGCTTCCAGCAAGTAATTTAGAGGTGCTTAGGTAACATTAGTAGTGGGAGATAAGTTCTGATAGTGTCTGACAAGGGCTTTTAGGAGTCGTATATTCTCAAATCACCGTGGCCAACGAATCAGTGGGCAAAGGTTCAGTGAGCCAACATGTTCCTATGTTTCTATCCCTTGGCGATATAGTCGGATTTGATTCGACCGCTAAACTGTAGTGTCAACAAAAAGTAAAAGCCCCGAAAGCTGCTCAAATGATGTACTAGGATGTGAGGACATTTCACCATGATATCGATGTTATTACCCTCGAGACTCTTCCAACCGCTAGGCTGTCCTATTTCCAACGAATGGCGAGTGTTGTCAAAAATGTGATAAGCGCCAGTCATTGGTAAATGTTCATTGAAAGGGAAAAATACGATGAAATGGGCCGTATTTCAAATGGGAATTAGGACAAGTGTTGTGCTCCGCAGAAAAACCCCCTGATCAGTACCATAGGTTCAATGCGCGCAGTACTGCGCGTTAGCCAAACTGGTACCCTTAGAACAGGGAGTTACAACGTTTCGCTTGAGGCACTTTTCATGATAACCGGATGGGCGGAGGAATGGGCGGGGACTCACAACCCAATGGTTGCCTTTGCCCATCGTGAAATTCACCTTTAAGAGAAAATGAACCCGTCGGCTTTGGTCAAGATTGCCGTACAGACCGGAGATTTCTACTCAGAAGCCAGCAAGTTAATGGATATTTCGAAGGGTTACTGGAAGAAGGTGACACCTTGAACTCTCTTTTCCCGTATGAAAGATCCCTAGAGGTTTCGGTTCAGGACTGGTTAAACGTCATTTCTGGGAAAGCAATGGGATTTCAAGCGATTGCAGAGTTTCATCAAGCACAGGTAAGCCGTCCCGAGCATGAAGTCCTTCAGAGCCCATGGCGTACTTAAGTCATACTCGCTAGTTCAGGTTCATTGGGAACGTCACGAAGTCGGTGAACGTTTGGCCCGACTAAAACATGCCTTTGATCTTGTAGAAAAGATGAAGAGACGTCTACATCCGGCCTGCTTCCGAGAGCAAATATCGGAAATCGAAAGCGCTCACAAATCTGCCACAAGTGATAATCGTCTCATTGTGGGTTGATCGGTTCTATTCCTGCTCTGCTGTTGCAGTTCAGTACCTCTACGCTGTCCTTGTTAACGACGTGTTTGCTATGAGTACTGGGGCGCCATGGATGCTATGTGTCAGCAAGAAAAGGGGGTGGCAAGGCGCGGCGCCAACACATACTTCACAGTTATTGTTGCTCTACCTGCTTCAAAAATTGGTGGAAAACTGGCTGGCGCGCGCTAACTCCATCTCCCTGACGCACATCCCACCATCGCAGCGAACAAGACTGCGCGATGTCTCACATGGGTTACGGGTTGCATCGCAAGGTGGCGCTGGAATTCGTTAAAGCCTACCTATGTCCCGGGACTATGTGCCGCTGGCGCTGAGAGCTGTCTGCAATTCTGCGTCGGAGTTGGGCGTGCTGTTGTGTCTGAGAACTTTCAAGGGGAAGTGTGGGCGGGGAGAGGGAGGAGGCTTCGATCATTTGTAAAAAAACTCAACTAGATCATCCTTTTCGGAGTTCCTCTCCAATTCAAAACTGCGAGTTATTATCCAGAAGCACATAACAGCTGCGTCCCAAAGGCGCGTCGTACGTTAGGGGGATCCTAAGTGAGGAGAGGGGTTGTATTTGCTGCCTTGTGGAAAGGGTGCGGTCTGTGGGAGTAGAGGAAACCCTTGAACAATTGTGTGATTTTTTGGGCAAATCACACGCACAATCAACAGCGCACATACCCTGCTGGTTGTCCTTTCCAGTATACTTCAGAAACAAGAGGCAGGTGTGCATCTTCAACCAGAATTGCCTACGAATACACTCCAGCTGAGTCCCACTGGAGCCGCGGTGAAGACTATTCTGAACGATATCGCCAGAAGGGCAGGGAAATTCGTAGCCCTCAAATTTGAGCGCTAGTCAGAGAGTTGGCCCAGTACCAGCTTTTCGTCGCTGCCAAAAGAAAAAAGCCAAAAGCGTATACTTTGAATTATTCTAGTCCGAGTTTCAAGACAGGAACTGCCACCTGGCTAAGAATGAAGGCCTACATCTGCCCCTTGAACGGCAACAAGTTCACTTCCGTCGAGGAAAAGCAACATGCCTTGTGGAGCACATTGTAAAAAATGGTGTCGTTGCCGGGGTCGAACCCATGGGGGCTTATTGGCAGTAGGGCTTCAGTGACCCGATCCACAAGTAAATGATGACAATTTTCATTTTAGTGGCTGTCAGTTCCTTGGGTTCCTGTCTTTACTTCCATCTAGCGGCTTCTGGCGTCAAAACGATCTCTTAAAAGTAGCCCCAGCCATCCTGGTAAAGTACCGCTCGTTAAGGTGCAATTTCAAAGGGAAGGTCGAAGTATTTCCTGGTCATGCCCACTCTCACACTTTTCGGTCAAATGGGCGCAACATACAGGCAGACAAACAATTCTTTCGGTTCATACATACATAGTAATGTAACATACTGGTAGCACATTAATTTTCAGTATCATGAACGAATTCCTGACTACTTTACACTACCTGCTCTACCAAGAGCAGCCCTAGCAAAGCCGACTCCGGTGGAGAAGCAACTTATTTCCTGGTTTCAAAGGTCGGTTTCCTTTTTGAGTGAACTACAGGGGAGGGGCAAAAAAGATACTTCGACTTCGAAGGCGATATAAGTTACACTTTATCAAATTCTGATTGGACATTTCCACCACCATATTCAACAACACATTGTACACTATCATGATACTCCGCCACAGCCTTCTGGACGAGCGCCATCGAGAGATTCTGCCACGCGACCGTGATTCGGTGCCTGAGTTCAGCGAGAGTTGATTTCTCCGCCACTGTAGACCACCCTGTTGAGCTCCTCCCAAACTCGGTAATCGAGCGGATTAAGAGCCCGTGGCACACTTGTATATAACGTCTTCTTTACGCCCTTCTTTCCGAGTAGGCGAGAGTTTTTTCCAACGCCCTTCGATTCCATGTGCTGGCACCCAATCCTGTAGCAGTACGAAGTTTCCAAGATGGTACAGGCGACGACATGAAGGCAGGATGTTTTCCTCGAGTTGGTCGATGTAACCGTCAGCTTTCACTTTCAGTACGAGGCGGTCTTCCCATTCCAGGAACTTCCGTTCCATACCAACAACCCGCGCCTTGGCGACTGCGGTGAAGATGATATCCTGGACCGTAGCGACGTCGGAGCTGCTCGATGTTGGAGGTCTTCCAGATCAAGAGTACCGGTCTCCAGGTAGCTGTCCATGGGTGACTCCATACAAGAAGTTTCGCAGCTGTTTGGAGGTGACGTGAATTCCATAGGCCTTCTCCAGTCCGGCTGCGATTGGAGATGGCTTCATATTTTGGTGTACATGAAGGTGATGGACGAGAGCCTGCTCCTGCTTATCGAGGAACATCTTGGGTATCTTCCGCCCTGGTACTCGTATCCACGTCTTCTGTCTGGGCTGCGCGAGCTTTACTGATATGTGACTCGGCTAGAGTGTCCCTTTTTTGCCCCTCCCCTTGTATTTATGGCGAAACATGCGGCAAATGTAGGTGGCAAAAGTGACATGGCAAAAGGCACCGTTTACCATGCCCCTAATGCGGGAACTCTCCTGGATCTCATTCCCCAAACAAACCCAGCCTCTTCCACCCTTCCAGAAGAAAAGGGGCCATATTCGTTTACCATAAGACTGTTGTGAATACTGGCTGACCCTGCAGTGACATCTCTTCAGATCGCGACCTGGCGATTCTGAAGAGAAGTCAGATGCGTGGTGCGTTCCGAAGAGACGCAAAAAAAGAGCGAAAGATAGATAGAACAGTGCCTATCTGTTTTGCCTTCTATGTGGAGCTCATGCGTTCAGCTTTGTAAGTAGCCTACACGTTGCCGCAAACCCAGCCTTCAAACACGATCTGTCAAAAGGGAGTTTTGGCCACGCCCGACGAACCACAGCGCAACTTTTGATGGTATTTTGCCCAGTAGAAGTGGATTCGATTCTTCGTGAGCTCAGGAGGAAAACCCCAAAGAGCCATGGGTTAATTGAGCTAAAAATCATGAGGCTCTCTGATATGTTACTCGGGCTAAAATGTTAGCAGAGGTGCTTGATAGTGCTAAAATGAAAAAAAAACCGAAGTGAAACGGTCGAAATCTGCAAAAAAAAGCCTTTCTGCACGATCAGGAAGCGTGTTCGGACGAGTTTCCCGTTGGCATCGTGCCGAGTAACCGCTACGGTAGATACGGCTGCACATATGTACCCATATACATATACACTGCGAAGCATAATCATAGTTCCACCCATGAATCTCACAAAATCCTGTCTTACACGAAGTTTTCCAAAATGCCCCCATACAGAAAATGTGGTAATTACCAATACCAATTCGCAACAAACACTAACTTGAAAAAACAATTTTTTTTTTCGTCAATTTTTTCAAAAATGGTCGTTCTGACAACGCAGCAAAATGATAGTTCCACCGAACAAATCGAATATTCCAACAACAAATGTACAATAAAATGAATAAATTTTGATCCAGTAATCTATTGGAACTCTATTTCTCCAAGTTGGAAAATACGGTTGCCCATGTTCGATTAGAGATTTTAATAGGCTGTCGGCCGACTGCCCCAATGATTAACTCCCTAAGCTCACGGACCTTGTGGAATTGTGCATTACTCTCATGGATCATACGCACCATGAAGCCCCTCACATCCTCGATTGGGTTTTAGTCGGGGCTACTCGCTGGCCAGGGCAAAAGAGCGGTTTGGTGACAACTGAATCACGCTCGAGTGCTTCGACTGTCATGAACTGGTGCATTATCCTGCATTAAACGGGACTTTCTTGCTGATTTCTACGCCAGAAAGCAAGGAGACGTTGTCGCATGACTTTTAGATGACGGAAGAAATCATTTCTTTTTTCATACGGAGCGCAGTTTCAGACGTTCCATTCATGCGATGGCAGCCCAGACCATGAGACCACATCCACTGAAGTTCCGCCCGGAAAAATGAAACTTGTCTTCCCTCAGGTCGTGCCAGCGGAATCGGTTTTCGTCGGAGCCGGTCGCAATGGAATACCTGGGAATACCTTGCTCATCAGAAAACACGACCGCGAGAGAAAAAAAACTGAAAAAACACTACAGACAAGCAGTAGGGCACCGCAGCCAAAAGCCAACCTCACTCCATTGGGTTCGGCAACATATTCCAGTTAGGTTTTTCGCGATGGTTTTTCGTTAGAAACAGTACGTAACTCATATTCCTCCTATGGGTGAACTCGGGAGTTTTCCAAGAGACGCCTAACAGTATCCTCCGAGACATTAACCTGCGAAGATGACTTAATTTCCCGACACGACACTGCAGAGTTGGATGCTTTCCTAAGGATACGGCGGTTATTCCGATCGGGCAGCAAAGGAGGATGTCCAGAGCTCTTCTCAACTCAATATGCTGTAGGTCCCTTGGAAAAAATTGTTGATAGAATGATGAGTGCGGCCCGAATCCCGAGCGATCGACGCTTCACCAGTTTTTGAGTCTTCTTTGCGATAATCTGTCCTTTTTCGAGGTCCATTAATGAAGTTCCACTTGCCATAGCCTAGAAGAGGCAAGAAGTCATAATGATGAGAAGTTTCACCGAACAAAAATGAGATGCAGCCGGAAAATATGCGGTGGAACTATATTTTTGCTGCGTTGTCAGAACGACCATTTTTGAAAAAATTGACGAAAAAAATTGTTTTTTCAAGCTAGAGTTTGGTGTTGGCATGCGAATTGGTATTGGTAATTACCACATTTTCTGTATGGGGGCATTTTTGAAAACGTCGTGTAAGACGGGATTTTGTGAGATTCATGGGTGGAACTATGATTATGCTTCGCAGTGTACGTCAGCACTGCAGCCGCTTCATATAATCCCTTCAGTTCATGTTGTACTTCGCAAATGCGATAAGAACATCTGCACTGGTCGAACATCTAAATGCGGGCGGGCGCGGTGGGCGTCCGGGTTGGATACCCTGCAGCTTGATAGGACTCTATAAGGGTACCGCTCTTAGAAAAGGCGCCACGCAGCGCCTGCCTGGAGGTGCCGAATTCTGTCCTTCTAGGTGTATCAATCCTACACGTCTTGGGGATTTATCGTGCCACGTGCCTTTAACTGACCCCTTTCAGACGTTTTTGCTACGGTGGTTCCTGAAACGACACTGGTAGCTATGAAAAAGTTCGATAGACTGAAGACGGAAGCGACTTCAGAAATTGAAAGATCGGCTTTCTGAACAGACCGAATTGATGGATGGGTGAGTTCGACAGGCAGCCTCGAAGTTGACCTCTTAAGCAGTAAAGTGGCCCCAGATCAGTTCAGCGAGATCAGTTCCTAAACATAACCTGGTGCTCGTCACCCTTTATAGCTTTACCGAATGGCACTCAGCCAAATTTGTACAGGCCACCTTGTGAAGGCTTGAACATTCCTATGACCAAAGTATCTCACTCGTACCATTTCGCAGCTTCACAGAAGTTTGCGGATCGCATCATGCCATTTGATATGAACTAAAAAGGAATTAGCGAAGTTCAGTATACTATTCGAGCGTCCGAAATACTTCTTCGTGGTGTGAAGTGGCTAGAATTCCGTACACTGGGGCCGTCTGACCCTCCAGACATTAGAACCACACTGTTCAGTC